ATAGGCCCATGTATATGTTAAACGAATTGTTTGCCTTCGACCTCACAAAACACCATTAAAAAACATGCTAAACAAAATCGTTTCAGAATAACTTGGTCTATTCCAACAGACCAACACCTCAACTGCATGTCTTAGGATATGAAGAATGACTTTTCATACATGTATTTAGCTTTATTAGATCTTTAGTTGTAGAAGACCATGCAAAATCTGATTTAATAAAGAATCTATATTTTCTTCCAGAGCTCTCCCCAAAAATCCTAGCACATCTCCCAAAATGTTCAAATTTAGGGTCTTCTTGTTAGTATATTTTCATGAAAATTCACTGATTTTTCATCAAACAATTCGGGAGCACCTCTCCCCTAAGAATTTCTGGGGAGACCCCTGTATTCCATGGCGTATTTTTTCACGGCATATTTAGGAATAAAACATAGTCTCAAGTACTATTTGTACGTACCTTTCGCGTCCAAATGTTGCCCTCCATTTTGGGAGTTGTTCACGTTGACTGGAAAGGTGGAAATTTCTGCAGATTTCCCTGGCACTCCATGTATATCACCGACGTTAAAATAAACAACAAAAATACACGCAGCTATGGTAAACATAGTCACATACTTTACAGTAGATCCCCATTTTACCATAGATAGAAGCGGCATCGCCCTTCTGGTAGATCTAGAATTAGTGAGTAAAATTAAACAATACTCGGACGTCTGTAAGTGTAACAATGGCTTATCTTGGTATAAAGGTGCCGACTTCTGTACTGTAGTTCAACAGATAATGCACGCATGTCTCGTATTCGTGTATTGGCCGCACTGATTGAGTTTTATGGATGACATCCGCGCGCGCAGTGATTTTTATTATGACTGGTTTATTTATTTCACACAAATACAAATACAAATACAATACCATAGCAGCCCTTCGGCTGAATTGTGGTTATTGTTTACATTTAAATAATATAAAATCAGCTACAATGTATAACGATTCAATACAACAATGTTAAACAATATAAAATCAGCTATAACGGTTCAATACAACCATGACTTACACAATGAACATGTCAACTATCATTTAGTAACTTTACAATGAAAGGTAAAGTACTGTTCTTAAATCTCGATGTTCTGCAGCTAAATTGACTGATTTGATTTTTGGACCTGAGTTCTCTGCCATGTACAATTGCACGTGTAGGCGGTAACCAACTGGAGAAAGTAGGGGATCTTGATAAAGACACTGCAAACTTCTTACAGAGTAGGACTCGTCTCTGGTACAGAGAGGTAAGGGACAGCTGGCCTAGGGCTGCATCATAGTTGACGTAGTTCTTACCCAATACAATTCTACATGCTCGCCTTTGCACAGACTCTATGTGTCTAGACTGAACAGAGGTGATGCCTGGGTGCCACACGGGGCAAGCGTACTCTAGTAGTGGTCTTACAAAACCGCAGAAAACTAGAATCAGGTCATTATCACCAAGTCCATACTTCTTTAGCACTCGCACCAGGTAAAGTCTACGGTTGGCTTTGCTCACCATGGAGTTTACATGGGCGGACCACTTGAGATCTGATTGAAGTGTTACACCTAGTACTTTCGCAACATGGACAACTTCCAATACAGACGGCCCCACAGACAACTGTGGAGGTGGGGGTGGTTCTCTCATAAAACATACTACCATTACTTTGCACTTAGATGGATTAAGTTCCATATGATTAGACCCTGTCCAGTGAACTAGGCTATCAATGTCTCTTTGGATTGTGGAGGGAAGACTGTTGTGCCTGGACTCAGCCAATGACATGTCATCTACGTATTTCCAGCCTTCAGTAGATGTTTCCTCTGCTGGTACCGCGTCGTTGATTAGTGCCAAGAATACCAGAGGTCCCAACTTTGTTCCCTGAGGCACTCCGCAGGTAAGTGTTTCCCATTCTGATGTAGTCCCTTGGTACTTAACACGTTGGTGTCTCTCCGAAAGGAAGGCGCAGATCCACGGGACGATCGATCGTCGTACTCCGAGGGAGATAAGTTTGTTGATAGCAGTAGGGTGATGAACCATGTCGAATGCTCGGGTAAAATCAGTCAGCACCAGTGTATTGATGAAACCAGGTTTGTCAGTTGTGCTTGTTAAGTAATGGACCAGACTTGTAAGGTAGTGAGTTGCAGATTTCCCTTTAAGAGATCCATATTGGCGAGAGTCAATCCTGGGCCAGATATCCTGCATACACCAGTCTGACACGAATCCCTCGCAGACTTTCGCGAAAATGGACGTCAAGGAAATCGGTCTGAGTCTATCAAGACGGGGCGGCTGTTCCTTTGGGATTGGTACTACATCTGCTTTCTTCCAAACTGCAGGTACCGTTCCTTCCGCTAGGGAGCAGTTGAATATATTACACAATGGAGTGCTGAGTTTGGGGTCCCTCAAGGAACCGTCCTGGGGCCATTGCTCTTTCTCTTGTATATAAATGACCTACCAGATCAGCTTGACTCAAATGTGAGGTTATTTGCCGATGACTGTCTATTGTATGTAGAGCTTTCTACACAGACCGACTCACAACTTCTCCAAAAAGACCTGAACACACTGGAAGAATGGCAAAGCAAATGGCTCATGCAGTTTAATCCCGAAAAATGCTACATTATGCACATAACAAACAAACGAACACCACATGCAACTAGCTACCAGTTTTGTGGTCAGGCTTTAGCAACCACAAAAATCCATCCGTATCTGGGCGTCACACTGACAAGCGGACTGAAGTGGGGTGCACATGTTAATAATATCACAACTAAGGCGAAACAGACATTGGGAGTGATTAAACGTAATCTGTGGGCATGTCCAACGAGAGTAAAATCACTTGCATACACGTCACTTGTAAGACCGAACCTAGAATACGCTGCGACAGTATGGGATCCATATACAAAGAAAGACAAAGACAAATTGGAAAGGGTACAGAATCAAGCTGCAAGATTCTGTATGAACAACTATGTAAGAGGTGCTAGTGTCACGGAAATGAAAACAAACCTACAGTGGACCTCACTTGAAGACAGAAGAAAGATGTCTAGACTATGCATGATGTACAAAATGACTAATAAACTGGTGGATGTCCCAACTACTAAGTACCTAATACCAGCTCAGAAGAGAACAAGAAATAGCCACGCATTCAAGTACCAGAGTTATCAACCAAGGATTGAGGTGTTCAAGAATTCATTCTTTCCTAGAACTATCGCAGAGTGGAACTCACTGTCACCAAGTACAGTAGGGGCACTGTCAATAGATAGCTTTAAACAATGTCTAGAGCTAGAAGTTCAAGGGTTAGGTGTAACAAGTCGATCGGTGTAATATAGCCAGCTGCCGCCGCGCCGCGTGCCTGCGAAGCTGGTGTGTTACGCCGAAAGGCGGTTATACCGGCTATACAGATACAGATACAGAGTTCGAAGGCGAATTCACGTACTAGTCGTGGTGAAATTCCGTCACCGCCCACGGCGGTCTGTCACTGCGGCATTCTTTCCCATTGCTATGCGCGTTCGAAAAGGTATCGGGTTACAAGACGCTATTTTGGCCTGTTTTGGACTACCCGTAAAATATTTGAAAATAAACAAATAATATTTAGGGGTAAATTTCGTCAAATTAAAATGAAATTATCGTCTTAACATCCTTTAAATGTTAGCTTTTTATATTAAATCACTGATTTTTAAAAATTTCGCTCAGAAAGACGATTATTTTCGGGTTTCCGAGCACAAGTCATGTCACGTTTTTAGGCAAACATCGTTCAAACCTGGCTACGTATATTACCCCAGATCCCCGGTTTTTATATTTTTCGCAGACTAGGAATAAGATAAAAAATCGTGTTTTAGGGATTTTTTAATTTCTGATTTTAAGTCTAGTTTTTG